TCCCTTCTCTAGAAGATGTTGTCCAGCTTTCCATATCTTTTCTACTCGATCGTGAGGGGGACGGCAAATTCCCTTGCTGAGATCGTATTCTACTCCCACATAAGTGAACTTCTGAGTTGGTTGTAGTTCCGACTTCTTGAAGTTTATGAGGAAAAGATGACTGTAAAGGCCTGGACTGGATACGTTCTGGACAACTTCTATGGCCTGTTTCTCCAGAAGTTGAGTGACTGTAGCTGCATAAAGGTCTTTTCTGTCTCTTGTTGATGACTGGAAAGGCCAAGGATTGCATGTAAGGGTAGGTTTTGTGTGAAGTTTCGGCTGGTAACCTTCCTTTATGATCTGTAGAAATCCTCCTAGATCTGTGATTTCTTTCCATTTGGCAAGAAAATGCTGTAGTCTGCCTCCCACTGGTAGCTGTTGAGGGCTTACAGGTAGCTGTGGGAGACAAAGACTTGGAGGACTGGATGATATAGGTAGATAGTCACTGTGATTTTTTCTCTCCTCTTCCCTTGCCACGAAAAGAGTTAGAGCTGTTCTTTTTACCAGGGCCATTGTTGTTATTGAAACTGGACTTTCTGTTGTTGTTGTTGTTGTTGTTGTCTTTCTTATTTGGTTGAGAAGACTTCTTTGATTCAGCTCTCGCATTCATCTTAGCCAAGGAAGTTAAAGCCTGGTTGGTGAGATCAGACTGGTTGGACTTCAAAATTTCAGTGACTGACTCCTGTGGGAATAATTCCTGAGCCAAAGGGTTTATGGGTAGAGTTCTGAGCATTTCCTTTGCTGCAGAAGGGCAAGTCATGTTCTTCAAGAAGCCATCTCTCCTAAGTAGAACTACGTTGGACAGCAGTCTCACATTTTGATCAGTCAGACAGCCAATGGCTTGTGCTGCAGGCTGTAGTAGATCAGACAACATCTTAGTATCAGTGGATGAAGAATCGTTGAGAATTTTGGCCACTGCACCTAACAGCCATTCTGCATATGCCAGAGGTTTCAGTTGGAATCTTAAGCCTTCCTCTAGAAGCCTATACTGGGTCTTGCTGATAGTCAAATCCTTGTCAGCTTTCTTGAAATTTTCTTCAGACATCACCGCTGACAGGCTGGAATTTGGCCTCATACTCGAAACAACAAGTCCTCCGGCTGGAGGAATTGGAAAGCGCGATGCCTTGTCGTTTCGGGAAAGTTGTCCTACTTTTTTGAAGGCGAAACCGTTTGCGATGATCGAGGATCTGTTAGAAAAACAAGTCATCACCGTGGGTGATAATGGTAAGAAAGATTTTTCATTACCTTCAGACTGCGATGCCAAGGGCTTGATAACCACCGCTCTGTCTGGAACTTGGTGCGTCAGGTTAGCGTCTGGTAACAGGTTTTTGACTTGTGATATCGCCGCCGCGTTGTACGAAGCCAAAACTTTCTCTTCTTCCGAAATCCTGGAGCCGCCATCTTGAAAATTTTCACTGGGCGAGTCCATATCCTCGGGCCCCTCGTGACGTTCGAGACTGTGATTGGTTGAACTTTCTTTCGAAAGTGAAACTGGAGCAATCGCTTCCGGGTTAGGTGACCTCGTTCGAACTGGACTTCTGCTTCTAGAGCGGGACTTTGGTCTCCTATGGGGACTTCTGTGCTTGTCTCTGCTGCTACGAAGTGACGGGTCACGTGGTCTAGGCGTGTAACTAGAAGAGACACTAGTTTCACGACTGTAAGACCTACTACGCCTGCGTGGACTGTGTTCACCATGACGGTCATGATGACCTCTTCTCTCCGGAGTATAACGTCTGGGTTCTGGTCTCCTAGGGCTCCAAACTCTGTCCCGACTGCTCGAATGTCTCCCACATCTCCTGGGGCTGCCACGTCTAAAAGGACTTGCACGTCTCTTGGGACTTGCATGGCTTCTGGGGTCCTGATATCTCCATGGGCTAGGGCTCCTGCGACTCCTGTAACTTTTGCGGGGACTTCTGACAAATTCACTCCTTGCCGCTGGGCTTGGTCTGTCCAACCTTGCCTCCTGTTGAAGCCTCCGAGGACTGCTGTGCCTGGTGTTCACACTGTTCCTTGGGCTTTCTTGTTGCTTGTTTTGAAGCATTTCGTTCATCAGAACAGAAATCTTCTCCTTGAGAAAGTTGTCAGTCAGACTCATGTTGAAGTTCTGGTCTGCACTCTCTTGAATCCCTGCTTGCTCTGTGTCTCCATCAGTGCATTCTCCTTCTTCTTGCTGGAGAATGATAGCAGGACATTTCTCTGAGGTGTTCATGTAAACGTCCTCGTTGTTCATCATCTTGACGAATATAGTTGCTCCAAGTTCTGTTGAAGGCTTGTAGCGAGATGGTCGTCGAAAGGTAATATGAAGTAGGTCGTAGCATGAAGCATGGATAGGCAGTGTATTGGACGAGTTCATTCACTAATCCGTTCATTCAATAGGGGTGTTAGACCTTTCGACTAGTCAATTTATTAAGGTAATGGCATATCATTAAGAGGGAAGTAAGTGATATAAACATATATTTTTTATTGAATACTATCATTGTGAACATTATATAAGAGCAATAACCTGGCATTACTATTGTCTTCTTCCTTTTTGGAAAATTACACCAAAACAATTGACATCATATTAGAAATTCCTTCTCAAGTAGCATTACGATAAGGCTCAGGCCTATGATACCAAATCAAATAATCGGTATTTGTGTTATCAGGAATCAAATTTCTTTAAATTATCAAAAATTTCATAAAAAAGGTGGCAATTTTGAATTCAGAGCCCATCTTGAATATTTCTTCTTGAGCAGGTCATTTTTATTAAGGCTACATCATACAAAATTTGAGCCAAAGTAAAATGCTGGGTTCATCTTTACACGAAGAAAACTTTGGACCAAATTCAAAAACTGTTAATAGTACCGCACACTTATTTTGGTTGCCTACTTCCATGTGCTAAGGTTTTCAAAATTGGCAAAGCCCCTGAAAGTTGAAAAGACCGGACTGTCGAACAGACAGCTTCTTAAACAGGCAATGCGCCTATTTTTGAATGAAAAAGGACAAAATATCATTTGAGACATGTCACTCACACAGTCAATCAAATATGATAAAAACTTTTAATTTGGGTCAATACTGAAGTGAAAAAAATTACTTGCATAGAAAACAGCATTTGAAGTTCAGAGACCAAAAGAAGTGAATTACCACTTTTCACAAAGTGTATGTTTTTAAATAACTCTTAGATTAAAAGATGGCGCATGGTTGAAAATCCTATCAAAATGAATGGATAACTAATGCAAAGAACAATGCCATCTTTCTATGGCATCGCTAGAAACTTGACATATATAAATTGATAGAACAAAAATATTTTTCATGATCTAGTGTCAACTCTGATGTGGTCTGTTTGAGCTGTTTTTGGTGTCAAATGAAAAATCAGGTACTTATTAATCCATTAGAAATACTATAAAGATCAAAAGTGAGACTTCATTTATGCACTTTTTCCCTTTAAAGTGTGCGCCAAAGTTTAAAACTCTCGCTAACCTATATAAAGAGATTACAGGGTACAGGCTTCAGAGGTAAGCCAGGAAGGTGTACAACTATCGTCCCGTGTTGATTTCCCGTATAATCGTAACCAGGCAAGTTTCACCATTGGAATTGAAAATGACTATTAGATATACTTTGTAGATGTTTATATATGAAGGTATTAAGTGTATGCATCAAACAAATGGCTCATTTTGAACATATACAAAAGAAGTATTTGTGTTTTGTTTCCCAGGGAATTGTATTCCCATGTAGTTCGTATACACACATAAATAGTGTACATTATGTTGTACTTGAATAGCCTGGCTTATATAATATTGAAGGGCATACAGATTGTACACACGAGTACATGCATGAAGGCCTAATATTGATATTGCTTGCATACCAAAAGTAAAAATAAACTCTTCTAATCCCCTAATGTAAACACGGCGGTATGCGTAGCCCGATTTATCGGGGGCTTTAATATAAATGCAATTTTACACTGTAAAGAGCTCCCAGCATTTTTTTGTTTTTCACCTCCCGCCCCCCTCAGATTAACCCCTCAACAAACCATGAAACATATACCAGTAATTAACTTTGAATGGCCTTAGACTAAGCTTACTACATGGAAAAGCATAATTGTATTAAATCATCTATACATTATTAATATTGTTCGGTTTCAGTATAATGTTCACACTGTTCATACAAATATACAATACCAGATCTAATGTCATTTAATCAACACTAATGAAAAGATTTGCAATTTGTGGAAACAACTAAATGATTTTGGAGTTCACTGATATCCTGTCACAGCCCTAAAATGTACTTTGCTGGAACATTATTTTTTCAACAATGATACAACATTCCCTGACATTTTTGTCCTTTTTTGACCCAATTTTAAAATTCCCTGACATTTCCAACACCTGGAAAAATAAATCAATTTCCCTGACATTTCAAGGTGTGCACGAACCCTGAGTTATATAAAATATTTCTCAATATTTTTTTGAAATATAGAGAATAGAGTTATTTAAAGTACATATCCATTTTAACATTATCAGTTTTTCTTTTAGAAAAGTGAGTTCTAACATACATGGGGTTTAACATGTAAAACTATGAAGAAAAGACTGGTCCTTAACTTTTTTCGAGGAGTTTTTGTTCAGTTCGTAAGGATATGTGACTTGCCTATACACCAATATTTTTCTCATTCTGATGCTCATTACATCTTTCTCTTCTGTAGTTTAATTAAAATCTACACGCAGGGTAGTGGATCACCAAAGTTAACTTCATTTAGAAACTGTTGTATGAGAGGAGGGGTGAAACCAAAATGAAATGAAACTTAGTTTTTATCCAATGTTGACACTTGGAACACCAACCCTGATGTGCTTTGAGGAAATAAATATAAGTTTCAGATTCTGAGTTACAGAAATACAAGTAATTATGTCTATTACTAAAGGATATCTAAACCAAGGGGAATCGGATGTCTCAATAATTAAGAAGACAAAACAAAACAACTTATTTTTATATTTGTATAATCATATCAATTTATGTACATTTCAACATTGGACAAGTATAAAGAATAGATATACACATACTATGTAATGCCATATATACTACAGTACATTTTAAAGCAACTTCATGTTGCCCAGTAAAGGCAATATAACTTTTGTCATGACAACATATCTTAAGTAACATGTATTCACTAGTTAACCACTAGTAACTCATGAAAAGGTTTTCAATTGACTTATTATGATCTCTTTATTTTGCACGCCATGGATACCTACATTTTATAATATTGCAACAAAGGTGTGTACAATAGAATACAATACAAAAGCGTGCAATATAAAGATTACCCAATCTCAGAATGTTTTGATACTTTGAATTAAGACAAAGTTCAAGCTAATAACATTGACAATTCAAATAAACATTTCATTTTGTTTTTATGCATTTCAGTGAACAATGAATATCATTGTCTTCATGAACATAAATGAGCAAAGTTGGTACATACAACATTTCACCAGAACAAACTACATTTTAACTCCTCAACTATTGTTTTGCCTGGTTCAACCAAACAACGATTCCAAATTGCCAATTTCTTACAATGATACAACATTTCCAAACAAATGGCCAACATTTGAAACTATTCCAGGTCGGTACAAGTGAATTATTATCAGTTAAGCACCTGTGATTTATATATAATTGTAACTACATTATAAATATTAAATACAAAGTAATTAACTCAGATTTACTAAACATCACATGGCTTTACAAAAATATTTTTCAATTCAATTACTTTATACAAGACATTATCTGGAGATTTGTATCAGCTATGCTCCTCCAGTTGTAGGACTGCTAGATGCCGCTATATTTTTACAATAGAACACATTGGAAGATTCTCCCAATATATATGCACATTTTCCATCTATTTCAAAGCAGTTATATTACTTCCAGAGCAGATTACTCGAGCAACATTTTACGAACTAATTTTATAAAATGCTACCTGTTGCTTGAGTAGTTTGCCTTAGCAACTTTGAGGAATATGATATTTGGTTTGTACATTAATGCTTTATGCCCATATTTGGCGAGATTACATTACTACGTGGAACTAATGTCAGATTTGTTATTAACTGGGTCAGTTGTGTTACTAACTGAGTCTTTTATGCTACCAACAGGACTGGTTGTGTCACTAACTGAGTCAGATGTATCATTTACAGTGTTAGTTCTAGTCTCAGTACTGAGCTCAGTTGGATCACCATCAGACTCTTTTGTGTTAACAACTGCATCTTTTGAGACGCTACTATTTGCAGAGTTTTTCTTTTTAACAAAAACAGATTCAGTCTTGTTGCCATTGGGGTCTATGATATCAGTAGCAGAGCAGTGATAAAGAGTGTCTGATAAAACTTGTGCCACTTGTTGATCCAGGATCTGAGACATGACCAACTGTAGAAGACGAGGCTGGAATTTGATGAACAATGGTTGGTTGTCCGGGACTTTAGCTAGGGCTAGCAATGTGAAAGCAGCCCTACGGAGCATCTCTAGCGTGGTCCCCATCATCTCAGGGTTCTCACGGAGGACTCTAACCCCCTGGCTGTTCGCTAGCTGCATGGCATTATGCTCAGCCATTTCTAGGAAGTCAATGAGCAATGAGATACTAAGTGGCTGTATAGCAAGGGCAGCTGCTGCACTTTCGTCACCTTGAACAAGACCACTGATCAACACAAGAGCAAACTCTCGACACACTTGCTCACGTTTATCAGCTAGCATTTTAACAAGAATGCTGAGTAACTCAATGATTCTGCTAAAAGGTGGTGTTGCTAGAAGTAAGTCCACATTGAGTTCGTGTATACTCATCTTTGAGAGGGCTTCAAGCACAAGTCTTCGTGGGGACAGAGGGGAGTGGGCGGGTAGGGTGGGAAGTGGGTCCTGGGCATATGTGGAAGGACACACTGACCAATGAAGTAAGCCATTCAATACAGGCAAACAGATTTCCTCGGGATAGCTTCCAAGCTCTAAATGTCCACCAATATTGGAGAAGATCACTAGTGTATTTTCGCGGAGAGTGTGTAAGGTGTCCCACCACCATTCCGACTTTCCATGTTGCACGTCTACGTCTTCTAAGTCTGCATCCTCCTTACGCTCAGGCTTCACTTTCTTTGGATGGTAATGATTCAGTAACAAGAGCTTACCAAATAATGTCACGAATCCAGGGTGCTGTGACAGCACCTTATCATTTTCTGGAATAAATGACAGGCTACGGAATATGTTGGAGACACAGATGCATCGCCGCGACAGTTCTTCTTGAGAATCGGAGATCATATGAAAAGGAGGTTCGTCCCGTGTGTAAGCCTCCTCTTGAAAGCCTTCATATTTTTTCTTGCAAGTAAGGAGTAAGTCTTCATTGCACCCACTAGATTGCGTATTGTCTACATGTCCAATATTATTATCTGGCTTTACTTGTTCACTTGCACTATCAGCTTTTTGTTCAGTGTCATTTGAGTGGGATTTTTGTTCAACGTTACTCGATTGTATTGCCTCAGATTCCTGGTCTGCTTGTGATGGATTGTTTGATTTTAAGCAGCACTCAGGGTTTGCACTTTCAGAAGTATCCATTGGTTCAGATTTGATTATTACACTGCAACTTGTACAACTCTCTTTACTTAAGCATGGCTTTTCAAGTTCACATTCATCCACATTTTCTTGTTTCATAGCATTAGCCACACTGTTTTCCTTATCACTTTCAATAGAGTCGTTATCATCATCTTTCTCACTTTTCAATTTGAACTTTTGAGGTCCCAAGAAAAACGATTTCATTTTTTCTGGATTATTTTGACATTCTAAATGTGACACTATGTGTTTCGTCATATCCGATTTTCCAAACATGAATGTTTGACGATCACTTTCAAAATTGCAGTAAATATCCCAGTCCTTGGCATCGATCAAATCACACTGATCTTGCTCCTCAAACTTAACGTCTTTTCCACTTCGTGAAATCATTGTATAATTTCCAGAATGGTAGAGATCTTCATTTTTACTGTCATCAAAGATTGTCCGTAATTTTGACTTGTCATCATTTCCAGTATCACATTTCTCTAACTCTGGAATTCGCTCACATCCAATTTCCATATCTTGGAAAGAGTCTTTGAATATTTCTATTAGACAGGCACGGAAGTGTTCTAATAGCACATCAATTAGGCCAGGAAGATTACGTAGGTTGAAGTAGACGATACTGGCATCGTCATGGAGAAGAATAGAGAGCGTGTCCAAGGCCCATGTGCTCTGACTCAGTAAACCAGACTTCAAGGCAAGTATTAACTTCCATGCTTCAATGGGTGCTGAAAGAAAAAGGATATAGAATGAAATCTGCAAACTTACTTCAACAACAAATGCATTCATTGACAAATCAAATCAATTATGAAAGGTTTACTGAATTTCACAAGTCAGAAATAGACAACTTAATGAAAAACGTCAAAAACGTCAACATTTGTAGATTGTAACAGATCATAGAACTTATAGATCTATATAGTTACAGTACATGTTCATGTATATGCAGGGGTTTCACTAGAATTTCTCACAACAGGCTAAATAAATAAAAAGAAAAACTACAGTGTACAGGCAAAATTAATGGAAATCATAGATTTAACATGGAAAGGTTGAAAAGTCCCTAAAAACAACAGGTGGTTATGTGAAAAAAATGTTGAAAATCACCTGTAGTCTGCTGCTAATGAAACCCCTGTATATGTCATGAATTAAATTATGGATCATGAAAACATTTGAATATCCTTTTAAATTCCCCACTTCAGATACATCACATACCTATATCTTTGGTGGCATATTTGCGTCGTTTGTTCAGTAATGGCTGCGTTGCTTCAATGCTGTCTTGGGGGAAGGTTATCTCTCGCTTGGGAGGGTACTGATTGCCACCCTGGATTTGTCGCTGCTGCAAGTGTAACGAAACCAGTCATGACAAGAATAACAATACACAGGTGTTAAGCCACGATGATACCAAGAGCACATGCTTTAATGATCCGCGTTGTTTGAACCTACCGCCGAGCTCACTTATACATCAAGACCCGTTACACAGTCATGATACCGCCGAGCAAGCTCATTGTATCATCGGGTCTGCTTTACCCCCGTGCAATAGCTAATAATTTTGAAACTGTGAACATGACAAGTCATTAATTTGACTAAATCCTAAAACATGTTTACAACTTTTTTTTACTTTCAACACTAAATACAAAATTTTTTTTTCTAATCAGACACTAATTCTTAAGGAAATACTGATAGGGAACAAGGTCAAGGTCATATATCTTATTTATGTATGTTTGTGGTATTATATTTGACAATTATTTTTTTTAGGTAAAAATGAATTTAAAATGAAGTCACTTGTATTCGTATTTGAAAAATAAATGTACAATAAATTTTTAGGCAAGAGGCCAACATGAAATATAATCAATATTGGGAAATTTGTCCATTTTTCATTGAATGTTTATATGGCATGTTAGCAAAAGGGATTATTTTAACTTAAATAATTAATATCTTGGAGATTAAGGTGAGTTATACATTATTACCTGGAATTTATTAGGTGAGAAATACTGTTTGTCTCTTGGAGTACTAGGCATACGTGGGCCACTGCTCTGGTTGTAGCGGTTCATGAACGGTGAATTCTGCTGAGCCATGCCCTGTTGGTTGAACCCTGGCGGTCGATTAGCACCATATCTTTGCTGCATTGCCATCCAGGCACTTGGGCTTCCCTGGGGGTTATCTGTGAAATCATCGTCATATAACAATGCACTATTCTGACCAATCATAGAAGAGTTCATGCTACCCACTTCCATATTAGGAGTGAACATATCGTTGGTTGTTTCCATTGATTTTCTGTATGAGCGTAAAGGTGGTGCCTGTGGATAGGCAAACTCGAAGTCATCAACCGGTTCTGAAAGATAAATTGACATGCGGGTTTCTTCCATGCTCCCATGCTGTTAAGAACACTACAAAGAAACTAAGACAGGTAAAGATTAAAAGTAAACTATAAAATACACACAATAAACAAACAAATATACATGGAGAACTAGAAAATAAATTAGAAGAATAATACAATCAGAGGGCTAATAGCTGTATTTAACACCCTAAATAACCCTTAAATATTTTTGATTCTTAATAATATGTATCTTAGAAAATCAAAAGACTTGAACAAAAATCGTCCTTTCTTTAATAACAGAAGGTAAAAAAATCAGTGTGGAAATTGAAATTTTTTTGAAAGATGTAGTTCTTTTTCAATTTGGAACTTGAACTGCTTACTAAAATAGGAATTATTTTCAATCTACTATTGATTTTGTAAGTTACACATTAATATGAATTAAAAATATATATTGGTTTTTAGGATGAGAATAACAACTACATTATTGGCTCTTAATTAAACACAATACATAGTAGTTGTCAGTATGACAAACAGAAAGATGGGTACTAAACGTATAAACATAAACTGGTTTTATGACTTAAAAAGTGGAAAATACACAGGTCGAGTTATTTAACACATCCCCAGAAAGCAAAAATAAAACAAAATCCTCTCGATTTAATAGCCATAGCAGCTAAAAATCAGAAAATTTTGGTATCTCTAAAAGCATTGCCAAAGTAGTTGCTGTGTGGCCTAAAAGCGTGCAGAAGAAATTCTTCACAAAAGTTGATAGGAACAATTAGTCGAGTGAATTATCAGACAGAATGAGAAAGAACTGAATGAGACAGCAAACTAAGATCCAAACTACACAAATTGATAAATGCAAGCCAGAAGATCACAAGGAAAAAGCAAAATTCTCATTAAAATTTGTAAAAGTAAATCATATAAATTATGAAGACAAATTCGTAATTCTAAAATCATTAATTATCTTAAGCACACTAGCGCTTGATTAAAATCATCACTTTTTGGAAGACAATTTTATCCTATTTGGATATCCCAAACAAGTGCATAGTGTCTTATAATTAATAAGACTTCACATACATTATTTTCAATAATTATTATTAATCATCCAAACATGACTTGGAATTGTCTAAAACAGCTTTATCTCAGTAATTCTCACCCCAAGTGACTCTAAAATATTCTTACTTTATAATGATATAAAATTCAAAGAGGTGCTAGAAGTTTTTTCAGTTGGGAACTTGTATTGCTAAACTAGGAAAGGCAGTTTTTCAAGCTGTAATGTTTAAAGAGAGAGTTTATGTTAATCTGTTGATAGTGTTAAGTTACATATCAATATGAATTACAGGAAAATATATCGAAGTTTTAATAAGGATGAGGATTTCAACTATTGTCCCTTTAATAATTCCATAAAAAATCATTTGAATATTTTCAGTAGTCATGTTTGAATAGCAATACGAACCGAAGAAAAGGTATTGTAGGCATAAATTTTCACATCGGCCCTTTGCAAAGAATTTAATTCAATTGATTTAACCATCAATACTTGTTTTTTGGCTCATATTGTTAAGTAAATCATCATAGAAACAAGAAGAATCTACAAATAATGAGAGAATATTAGCAGTGTGCAGATACAAAGGAAAGAACATAATACTGTCCATCTACAGTCTACTGGCTACATACACAATAAAGACCCTTCCCAAACTAAACCTCCCAGATTTATGCCTCAAAAACACACAATAATTCCATTCCCAAGAAAAACAATGATGTATGACTTTAAAAGCAAGCTAACTACATTATCTCCCATTAAGTATTTCCCCAGAGTAACTCTTTAATCTAAATCTAATTTCAAAATAAGCCCTAATAGTGGAAATGCAAACGTTTGTGTATGTAGAAGGTAGTTGCAAGTTAAGTATTCTATTCTACCTGTTGATTGTCCAGTGTGTCCTGAGGAAGGCATGTCGGGTCCTCCCATCATGCCTTGCTGCGAAGGATACGGGGAGTTCCCATAACCCCCTTGGGTAGAGTACCCACCACCCATGTTGTTCTGATTGTACCCTAGAGTAAAATAAATTTAGCATCCCTTGTGAACACCAATCTGTTTAAAAAATGTCCATAAACCTACATAAATGTACATCTACCATACATAATATTCATAAAATTTCAGTTTCAACTTCTACATACATAATGACAATGTTTTACTCCACAAAGCTTTTCACCTAGGAAAAATGAACAATTTGAAATCCAACATGGAAAGGATGTTAAAAATCTTCAATGGATGGAAATCTATAAAACATATACAGTACATGTAATAACAACAAAATGCAAAATGACCAATCAAAAGCAACAACACTGTTAAATTGCCAGATTTAACAGATGACCCTGAACATGTGTACACACCTTGGTTAAAAGCATCTGGATAAGGGCGCTTTTGGGGGGTGAACTTGTTGCCATACATCCCTTGTTGAGGCCCATACTGACCCCCTGCCTGCTGTTGGTACCCTGGAGCTCCTGGTTGGTCTGAGGGACCCTGGGGATGGGGTGGCATTTGGTTGCCAAAGCGATTGTTGCCATACATCTGATCCGTGGGGCCTGATTGGTTGGGAGGAACAGCAGCCATTTGGCTTGAACTACAAATGATAACAAACGATTTTCAAGATTACTTAAATTCAAAATGTTTATCAGCACTACACGATGATATCATTAACATTGGTAAATATGTTGATGATTTGTATTTTTTCAATAAAATGTGTTGTATTTTTAGCAAGCAAGCTGATCACAATCAATCCATATGGTATGAATATTCTAGAGGCAAATGCCAAGCAGGCTCACCTGTATGATGTTGGTGGCTGGTTCATGGGCCTATTTCCATACATGCCTGGCATACTCTGTGTATCACTAGGAACACTGTTGGTGCTGGCAACAGATGGGCGAATAGGAGGCTGACTTGGCATGGGCTGACTGCTAGGAGTCTGCTGTGGACCATAAGGTGGCATTGGAGAACTCTGCATGGGGGAACTCTTTCCAAATTGGCCTTGGCTACCACCTGTGCTGGACATGGAGGATGCATCATCGGAGAAAGGATCAGATAATGTGACACTGTCACCAGGTGCTGGCTGGTTTCCTGGCTGGTTGGGTTGACCCATTGATGTATTTGTCCCCATGCCCATATTAGGAGTCATGTTTTGAGCCATGCTGTTAACTGGAACTGTGTTGGTGTTACTCAAACTTGTGTTGGAACTCATGCTGGTCGTAGGTCCGATGTTTGCACTCTGTCCCATTGAAGAGTTAGGACCCATTGAAGAGTTTGGGCCCATTGATGAGTTTGGGCCCATTGAAGAGTTGGGACCCATAGAGGAGTTAGGAACCATACTGCCATTAGGACCCATACTGCCATTAGGACCCATTCCTGGACTAGGGCCCATCGAAGTATTGGGACCCATACTACTACTTGGAGGCATATTTGAATTGGGACCCATGCCGGCATTAGGTCCCATACTGCTGTTTGGACCCATTCCAGGACCCATGTTGGCATTTGGGCCCATAGCGTTTGAAGAACCCATAGCGTTTGAGGGGCCCATACTAGACCCTGGTCCCATGCCAGCAGCCATATTAGGTACAGATGTCATGTTTCCCCCATGTCCCATATTTGGCCCTGGAACCATATTTGGTCCATGTCCCATATTTGGTGCATGGCCCATGTTAGGTGCATGTCCCATATTAGGTCCAGGTCCCATGTTGGGGTTCTGCATCATTTGATTGGGATTCATTCCCATTCCCATACTGGGTCCATTCATAGACATAGAATTGCCATAGGGCATCATGTTAGAGTTAGGACCCATGTTGTTGTACATATTGCCTTGTCCCATGCCCATATTTGGCATCATCCCAGGTGGACCCATGTTGTTGCCCATATTAGGACGTTGAGCATACATATCCCCTGCCATGCCTCGCCCACCTTGGCGGTAACCATCTTGAGGGTGTTGATTATGGGCTGAAATGACAGAAAACAATCAAACATTTTTCAATAATGTTCATGAATTGAACAAATAATCAAAGAAAACTTTTAACTAACATCAAATAACCACATCGACACCTTCCCTCACATTCGATCCTATTGCTAAAACACGGTTCAGGAAATGGACTAATGGAGAGAAGCTCCTAGGGTGGGGGTAGACCAGGGCTTTCAAGAAAATTTATTGTTACATGTATTATTATCATATAAATATACATTATTTATGTCATTGAATATTCTGTAAATATCTAATGAATATTACTCTAAATATGTATGAGTTAGCACATAAAATATATACTGAACAGAATGTTAATATAAATGTAACTTAATATTAACAACTAATTATTTCAAACTAATTGAAGATTCAAAGAATCAGGTACTTATTAAAAGGATGGTGTCCGATTATCAACAGTTTTGGAATAATGGAAAGTTTCGTTAGATGATAAATGATGATTTTGTTGTGAATAGTTTTGATTTTTTTAAATATTTTATTATAATGAAAAACAAAATATTTTAAAATGTTGACGATTTTGTAGTGAATGGTATTGATTTTCAAAAATATTTTGTTATAATGAAAAACAAAATATTTCAAAATTTTGTTAAATGAGGGGAGGGGTGGGGAGTCAAAGCATAATGAAATAACTTTTCATTTTCCCATGACTGTTGATAAATGGACACGATCCTATTATTATCAAATGTTGAACCTAACATATAAACAAATGTATGAATTTTTATTAATTTTCCTATTTAACATATTTACAGATTCTGAAGTTGAACATTTTGGGATCTACATTTACTCCCCACACTACTTTAACCCCTGTGCAGAAAATTATTAAGAGTAAATAATAATCAAGAAAATTGTTAAAATAGCTATTAGTTAACATATTATTGTGTCCTTGTAGCATATCAGGAAGCCATTTCTCAAAATAGAAACATTAATTTGTGAAATTATATGTGTATATGACAATAATCTAAGATAAAAGGTGCAGACAAGAGATAGTATTTACTAATGAAATTACATGTACCAGACAGCTTAGATTATGAATGGAGAAGGTGTAAATACAAGCTCACACAATTTGCCATGTGACTGACCGACACACAGTGCTCAATGTGACAGACTAAGATGGACTCACATTGCTGCTTATTGGCAGTTGATTTCTTCTCCTTCTTAGTGATCAGGGTGTCTAGTTGTGACATGAGGATGGCAGGGTCCATACAGCCACGGTCGAACCTGGCCTCGTATGACAGCAGAAATCTCACGTAACTTTTCCTCAGTGAGTTCGCAACACTTGCTGATGCATTCAGGCCCATTGCAATACCAGTTTCTTTCCATTTCTTATTCTTTGTCACCTGGAATGATTATTTCAATGACATTTGTTCATATCTTTTGTTTGTATTCATTATAGATTCTATGAGGCATAACTTCTCTATACTGAAAATATTTTATTACAAAATGTTGCCAACATTATTGTTATTCCAACACTATATTGTGGTGCCATCTATTTTCAATCCGGAAAGCTTCTAAATTGATCTAGACAGATGAATCATATACTCAAGCATGACAAATTCTAAGAAAACCAAAAAATGAATCATAATAGTTCAGTAACAGAAGGATAAGTTTTAGGCTTTGAGGTTGACTAATTACTTTTGGCTCTCAAAATAGTAGAAACTGGTTAAAAATGAAGAAGTAACATTGAAAACACAAATAACACTAGAGATCACTTTACAGTAATATTTTTTATCATGTGCTTACATCAATGAGTCCTCCCCTCTCTCTGACTTGGTAATAAAGCTTGAAGATATCTAGAGGTTGTTTACTGATCTGGGGTAGGTTCCCTATGGGGGATCCCTTCTCTTCCATATGTTGTAAAAGTTTATCCAAGAATGGACGTCTCTCTTTTTCAGTACCCATATCATACAGCTTGTGACTTTGTTCAGGTAGACCAGGTTTCTACAGAAAACATACAGATATATATATATATATATGTATAAGAGAACAGATTCTTGCCACTAATCCAATGATGTATTTTTAAAAATGACTAAAAAATTAAGATTCTTAAATATGAGGATGGGTCCAGATAGTAATTATAAATAGCATCAATATCATTTGCAAATCAATCTGATATTACATAATAATTAGTTTTTAATAACAAGCATAATTCCTTCGCTTTTCTTAAAATATATATATTTGGCCATGTATAGATTTATGTCATACTACTTACAGGCGTGCCAGGCCAGCTTGGACTGCTTATATTTTCCATTTCATCTCCGGGGAAGGACGACATGCTATTGCCACTGGGAGAGGGGGCAGGGAAAGAGGACATACTATTTCCACTGGGGGATGGGGGCACTATAGGCATCATACCAACAGGGTTAGGAGGCATCGAGGTAGCATCTTGCTGTAAACACAATACAAACAGGGTTCGATAAATATGGTTTATACGACTCAATGCAATCTTTGATCATATCAGATTCAATATCTCAAAACATTTAAATTCATAAATAACAACTTTTCAGGACTTTTATTGAATATATCTTCTTTCTGCGAAATTTAAAAACAAGAACAAAGAGACTTACTCTGGATTTGTCATCCCTCATCATAGCTTTGTTCTCCTCTGTTGTGATTGGTGCAGGTGAAACAGTCTCCATGGCATTGTTGTGAACTGAGCTGGTTTCCATGGAGTTTGTTGTTGTCACTGGGTATGTCATACTTTGTGTCACAGCAGTTGAGGTGTCTGTATTTGTGGCACTGGCTTCAACTTTGGCTGTGGGTTTCATATCGCCACTCATGGCACTAATGTTTGGCAAGCTACCAGGCTTCACATCCCCCTTCCCACCAGACTGACTAGAACTGTTCACCACAGATGAGAAGCTGGCGGGGGCAACCTGATTAGGGGGTAGACTTTGGCTGCCTGTGGATCCATTGGAATTCTCTCTGGGCCCTGGACTTGGTCCGCCAGGCCTCATTCCCTCCATATTGTTCAAGGGGCTCATACTGTTCATTTGAGGAGGGCTACCTGCCATAAATCCAGGAGCTGGCATCCTTTGCTGTTGTGGACTACCTGGAAAACGGTTGGCCATGCTAGCCCGTTGAGCAGAGCTAGCTGCAGCTATCATTGCAGCTTGGGCTGCTGCCTGTGCCCCTTTTATTCCTGTACCTGAGCTAGCATTGGATACTGGAGAGCTCCCGGGACTAGGTAGAGAGTTCAGAGAATTTGAAGCGCTCGCTGCATTCTGATTGGGGGGTCCTGTCTGACTATTATATTGTCCATATTGCGGCATATTGTTTGTGGAGTTTGGGGTTCCACCACTAGTTGGTGCACCGGTAGGTGTTGCACTATTGGGCACAGCATTAGGTATACTTGAGGGGGGTATGTTAGGGGTACCATTAGGGGGCATACTTCCTCCTGATGCCCCCATAGAGTTTGTGTTCATATTGTTCTGATAGTTATTGGGTGTATGCCTATTCATACCACCACCATACATCTGATTTTGCCCTGGCATATGTGGAGGCGGATTGCCACTAGGGGGCATTTGGTTGCCTGAGGGGCCCATTTGGTTGTTTGAAGGGGGCATATGGTTGCCAGTAGGGGGCATTTGATTGCCAGTAGGGGGCATTTGATTGCCAGTAGGGGGTATTTGGTTGCCTGAGGGGGGCATCTGGTTATTATACATATTTTGTGGGTTGTAACCCATTTGTCCTGGTCTATTCATGTTACCTGGAAGAAAACAACAAAAAAGTTTTGATCAGATGGCATTTACTTTGGAGTACTAGCTCTACATGTTTTTCATTTCCACAGGATTTCATTTGTGTTTTCATTAACCAATGTTATTTTCTGAAGCATCTTGGATTTATTAACTTCATGGTTTGTAACCATAAGTGTTGATAACCTACCTTGATATTGTGAATTCTGTTGACCATAAGGAGCTCCCATCTGGGGACCTACCATGGGCATACTGGGGTGTCCCGTTTTGTTAGGGTAGGGCCCCACCTGCCCCCCAGGCCCCATTGGAGGGGGCATTGACTGGGGTTGCTGGCCAAATTGGGTCTGCATGGGGGACTGTATTCTATTAGGACCATCCAAGGGCGGCTGAGAGTGCTCTGATGGTGGACGTGGGGGCATGGGACTAGGGACACCTGCAAGCATACATATTGTAATGTTATTTTGATGTAAATTAATTGAGAATTAGAAACAGTTCCAGATAATCTAACAAAATAAATAAATACAGTTTAAAGTATTGTATCGATTTGTTACAATTAATTACTAGATATTTGCAATTGCAACAGTATTCAGCATAAATACAACAAGGCATACAGTGATAAATATCTCACTTTGAAGAGCAAATTGGCCATCATCATGTAATTTACCTAGCATGCTCAAAACCTAATCAGATTTTGGAACTACATGTACTCTACTTGTTTGCTTGTGTAAAAATTTCAAGTTTAACATACAAGTAATTTTCAAGACAAGATTTATGTGGTGCCCACCCGCAAACATACCAAGCAGCACAAGACAATGACGATAAAGCACTTTTTAGATACGATAAAAAGCTCTCGTCATTATTATTACCTGTTGTGGATGCAGGTGTGTTTGATCGTGAGCCCGCTGATCCTGCGGGTGAGGGTGCTGATCTTGGGGGTGCGGGATTGCTGGATGTAGTATTTGTAGAAGTAGGGGCACCACTTCGGTCTCCTAGATCATCTAATCTGCCTGATAGCTCCTGGAACACACAAATCATTGTTCATTGTATTGGGGTCTGCTTTAATATATATATATTAATTTGTTTGGTTATGGTTGAACCATCTGATGCTGCAATAATATGAACACAAAGTCCCATCCTGTGTCGTTGTAAATGTATTTTCTAAAATGTGTACCTAATCTACTGTTAATAACATGACATTCCTGTTGCAAATCAAACAAATTGTGTTAAGTTTCATTATCCTGTCCAAGAAAGTACAATTACAATGCTCAGTTCAAGGTTTTCTGAAATGATACATCTTCAGTCTTCACTCAGGATAATCAACCAATCAGGTTTATTCAATTAATGTTGTGCATGCATCTCACAATTTTACTGCTTATTTGACAATTCTGGGAAAGAAGCATTTAGCTAATGTTTCATTGCTTCATCATCTTCATAAATTTTAAGTAAATAGGAACTTAACATAAAAACTCAAAAAAGTTTGAACTTTAGTATTATTATTCATTTCTGGTATGGCGATACATATGGTGAGATGGAGTCAATGCTATCACAAAATTAAATAAAGAAGGCTTTTATAACTTGAAATACTGATTTTTGGAATTTTCGTAGTATCAGGTTGCAAAATTTGCATTTCCCCCTGCATAATTTGGTGTGTTTTTGCTGCATAATTTCACTTTTTTGCCTGGATGATTCTAGTATCTGTGATATAAAGTGTTCCATGTATTAAACGTGTAAGTGCATTTTGAAAACCTTTTGCAACACAAAGGATGTCAGCGATTTCAAACTGAATGTTTTAAAATTAACTCAACTTGACAGTTTAATGTTAGTCAACACGTCAATCAACCAATCAATGTCACTTTTTATCTCGATTCCTATCAAAAAACTTCAATTAAGCTCATTATCCCTACAGTGTCAATGATAAAGAAAGAGAATCAATGAATTAGTTTCAATTATTTGACAATTATATATCCATTCATCCTATCATTCTTTTTGTTAAAACATTGTTAAACTAAATGCTCTTGTAACTTTCAAGATTTAAAAAATACATCTTTTTTGATCTTTAACTGAATTTACTGAAACACTTTAGGATACATTCCTCATTTCCCTAAATGTTGCATCGGTGTAAGAGGTATACTTGAGCAGATAATGCAGCCAAGATATGCGGAAACAAGCTGCAATAATTTTTCTTTTGATAGCCAAGTCAACAGAGTAGACCAGGAAACCTGTTATATTTATGGGACTTAACCGATAGACATTCATCAACAGTTCCCTATGACTGAATAATGAGCTCTTTGATGGGAACATATTGGTTAAAGAAGTCATTATCACTTAAGGTTAATAAGACCCCTTGTAAACAAACTTATAGATTTTTACCAGATTACATTTAGCAGGCCTTTAACCCTTTAGTGATTAGATTTCAGATTTAAGCTATCAATTTCTAAGATGATTCAACAGTAAACTAATCAGGTATTTTCAGCTTGAAATAGTTAACAATGGGTTGGACTATATACAGACATAATTCAAGATCAATGGATTGCACTTAACCCAAATATCAACATCACACAATAACTGTTAATGCTTATTTATTATTGAAAGGAAACATACTATGATTAACTCATCACCTTTCATCAGCTGTTTGCCATTCAGAGAAATGTAGGTTTATGAGGTGTATCAGTTAATGTGTACTCAAGGTGGCCTTGAACAGCGATATTGAATAATAGCCTGTCAAGTTTTAGTTGATTATAAATTAGAAAAGTCAGAGATTTGTGAGGCATATGAAGGTTTATTGGCAAGCCATGTGCTTCTGTTTACAAACAAATAAAATACTACAGAATGTAAAACAGTATAATTTAGCATTGACCAAAGCTTACAATCACATAAAGATACTTAATGATTAGATAAAATGAGCATTTGATTTTTGATTATGATTCATATGGAAATCAAAAGATTCCTTTTCTATTAAAAAATCCAGCAATATATATTTATGATTGCATTTCTAAAAACAATGAAAATAGAATCACAAAATATACATCACAAATAAAAAATCTCAGGTTATTATAAGTGGCAAAAATATGCTGCACATAGACATAGTTTTCTATAATACAGCAACGAATTCAATAGCAGTTTCAAGGTTAAGAAAAAGCCCAAAATGGTGATATTTCTGGGGGTTAACAAAATATAATGAAATGTTCCATTCCCGTTTTGCCAATCTTGTCTCAAATAAGGCTGAAAAACTATAAGATTTGTCAAATGTACAGCCACCTAGATAGTAGTGACCCCTATCAACAGAATGATGAACTAAAAGCTCAACATCATATTTACTTCATATAAAGAGAACAGGATATTAATTTTATACACAAGCTGTACTTATTTACTAACAGTTTTGTGGCAAACTGATAACATAATTAACACATATCCCACCTACGAATGACCATAATGTAATGACAAACATCAAAATTATGAACTATATTGAAATATACTGTAGAAGCAGAAATTGAAGCGGGAACAAACTATAGCGAATAACGAATTATAGTCAAAATCATAAAACGAGACGGTAATTTGGTAATTTTTCGCTATATCTTTCACGTTATAATAACTACAGTACATAATAATAACAATGCTTAATTCTTATATGCTCAGAATAAACATTGAGATTTAACTTCATTCAGATACACCTGAGAAATTAAATCTAATCCATAAGTCAGTGATATTAACTCGCCTAATAAATCACTGAGTATAATGAATCAAACAATTGTCCAGAATCAAATAAGTATAGTATACATGTACTGCGTAATCATAATTCAGTTGTCTTTTTTACGATCTGATGCATGTATAACTACCTATCAATTAATTACCCGTATTTATCGGATACACAGTGGTTTACTAGAAGCGTAATGATTTTAGTAATGATAAAGATATTTCAAAGTATGCCATGTGCTGCTACAAAGCTCATATCACTTGTATGTAAATTAGAGAAAATAATTAGATACATTAATTTAAGCCTGCAATCATTTCATGCTTTCTTTCGTTCCTTTGATATATTTTTCAATTCTCGTTGAATATTAGTTAATGAGCACTTCTTTTAAAATGAAAAACTAAAACACAATATGAACACATTTAGTTATTTTTCTATTCTTAGGGTAGCCACAAATGTAATTTGAGTTAAATTTCAAAAGTTATAAAAATAAATTTCTAAATTATGGCATTTTAAATTCTGAATGTATCGACGAGAAAACTTGATTGAGTAGGTCCCCCTCAAGACGAAACATTTTTAACAGCATGAACAGTGAAAGAACAAAAGTTGCACACCATCTACGAAACAAGATCATCATTCACAATGGACCCATTTCAAAACCTACCGCATAAGGTCAACGCGTCTCAATAAAAGTACTTTGATTTTGTTCACAACAAAATCAACACGTTCTACTGCAAAACATGCTTGTGTCATTTACAAAATACCTGAATTTCATTAGCTGCGTTGAAGAGTTATTAGTAGTTATATCAATACTTGCTCACAAAGTCTATGTTCTGATCATATATATCAATCTTAAGTCTAACCTTTCCTTCACCTTAACTCCCCAAAAGTTGTTTGATGGTTAAAATTTAACTTTAAAATCAAACAAATATCTGAACTACTGATAGTCACTAAGCACTATCAGTCATATAACCCCCTCCACATTTTTTATTTCACTATCGATCCATCCTTCCTTTAACTCTAATATAACTCAGGTCAACTTGTCTGCAAACTTTTTACGATTTTTCTCGCTTTTTCTCCTTTGTCCGATTGATTTTTTTGTTAATTTCTTTTCATGAAAGTAATCTACTCACCTTCTAATTTTGTCCTGCGTCTTGGATTAGTCTTTCAAAGGTTTTTATCAATTGCTAAAGGCTGAGCGCACATGCCTATATGAGAGTGCTGTGTGCTAATACATGGGTGTATATGCTGAATAGAGCCAACACTGTACACATGCATCCATTATAGGAATATTACACTATTACAGCTGTCAGCCTCTAGGTAACATTCACTCCACCTTTCCACTCGTCTTCACACTAACATAAAAAAAACTCTTCATAAACAGTTCAAAAGATGTTGATTAGAAATTATTGAGAATTGTTGGTATGAGAAAATGAAATGGATTCAGCTACTAAAGTTGTTACTGCTTGGATTGCCCTGTGCCAGCGTATTATTACACAGGCTTTCATTTGCCTAGCATATATAATGCTTTATTTATAAGCCTCCTAGCTTCATTTGCATAAAGTAGTCCCGGCTGATATCTCCAACCTTTGTACGCCTGCTGTTTACATTGTATTCAATAAGCACTGAGCCGAGTGATATTTTTGTGGAAACACATTTCAAAATTACCGCTTTTATGCCAATGCTAATCCTGATTAGTAAACACATCTACTGGAAAATGGCAAACTTTCTACATATGCCCCTCGCTAGGTAGTTAGTTTCAGTAAGAACTTGCTTGGATATAGAATATCTTCCCCATGTGACTTGCTCCTAATTATCTTATAGATCAATAGAACTTAAAGTAAATTACTTCTTTTCGTCTGCTTAGAAAGAAATTCAGTTGTCCTTTATTCACATTCACTTCTCCTTCCTCTGTATCTTATAACTCTTGTTGGTAAGTTTTGTTTTTCTTGGTAATAGCCGAGTTAATTAGTATGACCCTAAACAAAGGATATGTAAACAAAGAAAATGTTGACATGTTCTATGATTCATCTGGTATTTGAAACTGGAGAGACAGTGAAGAAAGAATTGGTCAAAACTGACTTGAAAAAGTAGCAAAATTGCTCGTTTTTAAGCCAATGTTCTGTTAACATTTCAAGTATGGTTTATGTAAAGGGAATCTCACTGACCTAGCTGTGTATATGTAGGCTTGCAATCAATGTGAGACGCACACTACAGAGCTATCTAGTTCCAGCTCTACTCACTAGATGGCATTTTTTCAGCTTTAAATAATCGTAATTTTCTCATCAATAAATAAGAGATGTGAGTGGAAACCTTCATCAATCCTACTTGGTTATGCCAAGTGATGTTTTGGTTAAGAAATTTTCCCATTTTCAACTTGTTAACGTGATTAACAAAAACTGCACATTAACATTGTGTTTTCATATTGGTGAAATGCCAAAAGGGTCAAACCCTTGTAATTTTTATAACTTCTCATTGGTTTAACCCTCAAACTAAGGGCTGATTTTTACCACAGATGCAGGGAACACTTCCATGAAGGCATACACAAAGTTAGAGAAAAGTTTCGTAGTTTGGGAACACTGGAAAATGTGATTGTATGCATGTAGGGTTTATTGATTCTGAATGAAGTAATGAGTAATCTGGTATACACAGTACAGTATACAGTATATAGGCATAGAACCACACTGTAATAGCAGGCATTCAGCAATATGGCTCTATACGTATACTGGATTGAATACTGAAGCAATGGTTGCCTTGAATGTGAAATTATAAATGTAAGAAGAGATTTGCGAAACTTGTGATTGTGGTCTAAAAAGTCATTTACTTATTGTGTTAAGGACCTCACAATGTATATTGTGACAATACAATCATTGTTTTACAATTTTCTCACAGTTCCACATTAACTATTAACAAACAATGAATGGAATTTTAACAACATATTTAATTGAAAGCGAACAATGGGGGATAGAAATAAAACTAGAAATTGAACAGGCTATGACTTATTTCCATTATGAATTAAATCTTGATCTATTATACTATCTATAAATAGTGATTATTATAAAACTTTTATTGAATTTGTTAAGCTGAATCAACAAATGCTGTCCAAAAGAGAGGGGGAAAAATTAACAATAATTTGCGGAGGGACATATCTTTATTCTCATATCCTATAAAGATTCTGCCCCTTCCCACCTTTAAATATATGTATATAGATATAAACATTGTGTTAGAATGTGTTAGTTGGAAGAGGAGTAAGCTTGAAGCAAGACTTTTGTATAATATATAAAAAAAAGAGAATATATTTTGTAACACAGGAAGTGTTCATATTACTCGTGTAGGCGATATACTTTTAGTATACAAGCCCTCATGCTTATTTACATCTGCCTTTTTGGTGTATTTCATCACAAGTCATGATAATCACGAAGTCTTGCACCAAGCCCTTTGAATTCCCTCTTTAGACCACAACTCCTTGTGTAACTGTTATTGAGATAATTCAGGAAACTATGTGGAATCTTTAGAACCCCCCCCCCTCCCAAGCCATTTATTCTGGTGTGATTTTACTGAGTTGTTAAACTTAACATTTTCAACAATTTGAATTTGCCTGTTGTTGCTGTTCATTTTTCCTGTTGCCATAATTCTAATGAAACCCATGTCACATCATGTTATGGCCGTAAATATGTACTCAGTTACCTTGTAAATGTATTATTAACCTGTCCATCTAATTGGAACACAAATCAATAGCAGGTCAAAACCTTTCATATAACACTCCTTTGAGTTTTGATTTTACACAGGATTTAGCCTTGCCCCCACCCCCTCCCAGAGTTGCAGAATCTTAATTATGATTGAATAAGCAGAACTGACCCATTTTCAAATATACAAAATTTGATGACTAATCTACATTACCTCGCTAATTTTCCGATATCAACAGGTATATTTCTGTAAAAATTCCACCCAAAAGCAAAAATAAGTTATGGTTCTACCCTCGTTTCTATGTATTGGCAACATACCTAGCTCTTCATTTTTGAAAAAACTTGTTTTACTCATTTTTTGACAAAAAAAACGCTCACATAGAATTGACCCTTTTTCTTGCAGAATTCACAAATTTCATTTGCAGATAACATAAATAACTAGGAGGACGCTGAATTATCAAAATTATAATGATTTGATAGATTTTTACAATTAAACTAAAGCATGTAAGAGATGAACCATAAGCACCACTCCTGGGATTTCATTATACCTATATGAATCCCTAATAAGCACTCAGATTCTCAAAATATATCTTCGCTATTAATACAGGAAATACAGACGCCATCCCTAACAATACTGTACGAGCGTAAAGTACCACAGACTCAAACAATACTATACGGTACCATGAACACTGTACGACACCATACTCTTAAAGTACCGCTAGGCACCATACTCTTAATGTATGGTGCAGTACCATTATTTCAGATTATTGTCTTTGCCTCATGGAAAACAGGTTTTATCCATATGATACTTCCAAGATTTCAAGTGAAAACAAAAATGTCAACAGTTAGTGAAGAAAGGTTAATTTTGGTAGAAAGAAAGCCTCTGAATATGTAGGTAATGTGAATTAATTCTAAACTTTAATTTTTTAAGAGGAGGGGGTTAAACCATAATGACGTTAACTTCATTCTTTATTACCACCTTGAGAGACATTCTAAAGAAGAGGCTGATTTCACAAATATTTCACTTCACTTAAAGAGACCATAGAGAAGCTATACTCACAGGTAAGTCAGTGCTATCTTGCGAATTGGAATTAGAGTTAGTATTGGATGTGGGGGCGCTACTGGTGCTCGTTCCTCCGTTCCATTGGCTCGGTGGACGTGTTGAATTAAACCCCTAAAATAAAACAATCATTATGTTAAATACAATATACAACCTCTTAATATGAGTGATATTTAATATGAAAATTATATAACAGGAAAAGCAAGGCATAAACATGACAAAATATCTCTACCTGGTAAGTTGATGTCAGTGTTTGGAACACAATTTGTTACAAACTCTGACAACAACTCTGAACACAGTTATAAAAACAGTTAAAACACAGTTACTAAAGATTTCAACAATACATATATTTCTGGCAGGTGAAAATGATATATCAAGAAAGATGACAAAACATAAAATGTAGTATACTTTTGTGTTATTGAGACAAGGGAACTTGGGGTGTATAGAATACTGAATAAGAATCCAAATCCAAATTGTGTGAGCGTTCAGATTGACTCTCGTATTTGGTTGTATATCAATGCTACGTGGAACTAGACGATGTATCAATAAGTTTTTAATCAGTTAATGTTTTATGAAAAGGGTGAACAGAAAATGAAGTAAAATATATTATCCATCTTAGAAACACATTTTTCAATAATATTCCGCAATTTGGATGATTTGATCCATTTTATCTAGGACTTTTACTTCACTATCAATATCGTTAACATTGTAAATTCATGTTACTCTAAAAATGAAATACCTTGACATTATGTTACGACAGTTCATATCACTAAATCTACAATTCACGCTTCACTGAATGTCAAAACACAACTGAGTGACTTCCAAATTTGCACTTTGATTCCCATCTAAACCTACAAATTTTTACCTAAATTTGAATCATATTTTATGGATGTCTATTTCGTACTACAAAATAAGGACATTTTAGAGAAAGACCACAATTTAAACATATTTTCTACAATCAATCCCTGTAACCATCTCAACATCTTTGTCTATTCTATGTATGTCCGTTAGTTGCGGCTGTTTGCGTTTAAATATTATTTGCAGCAAATAAACATTTCTTGTATTGATTTAGAAATGGCAGAATATTCAGTCAAGCATTTTATGGCATGGAATTGGCATCTTCGTATCAATTGAATAATCAAGGCACTGTAGGAAAAAGCAGTTGAAATGAAAACAAATTTTTTGCAAAATAAATTGAATGTGAGTGCATAAGCCAAGCAAAAGCATGCATTAAAAGGCACCTATGTGCAGAATGCCCCCACCTGCCATTTGTTACAAACACTGAACACCAACCGCCACAAAAGTTAAGAATATAATAATATGTCACCACTTCTTGTGCCGACATAAAAATGAGTTCTTGGATTAAGTCCATCTTAGGTTTTTCATTGCTTATTATAGAATAGAGTTTAAATGATGAATTCAACTTGCATCAAGGTAAACAAGGTAAAATAAATGACCCGAGAGAAGGCCAATATGAACTTAAATACAATGCTATAGTATTACTAACAGAAAAGTAAACTTCCCAAGTAACTTCCCAAAGGTGCAAGCTACAAGCCCTTGTAACCACCCCCCCCCCTCACCCCTCTTCCCACCATACACCTTCTCTGTGTGAGAAGATGTGAGTTCTAGTGGGAAGGAGGTCACAGGAGCTCCTAGCTCACCTGTTCCGGTTGAAAATATGTCAACTTTTCATCCTTGTGACAAGGTGCAAACAGATTTGCAAGAACATTGCAGCAGTGCACCCAGTTGCACCAATGCAGGGGATATCACTGTTGCATGGTTAACAACTAACTTTAAGGCAAGATACTGGTGTGACAGGGAATTCATTAACAGCAGGCAACAGGTGATTTTCACTGGTTGTTTTCACAAAATCGCCTGTTGTTTTTAGGGACTTTTTAACTTTTTCATGTTCAATTTATAATTTCCATTAATTTTGCCTGTTGCTTTCATTTATTTAGCCTGTTGTGAGAAATTCTGGTGAAACCCCTGTGTGAAGAAATAAATTATATTTCCAATGTTACATAAGATTACATACAATTTCACATTTTTTCACATAAATGAATGTTAGACATTTTAGTGCATCACTGGCACAAATTAAGGTAGTTCAAGTGGATACACGAAATAGACCAAATACTATTCATATAGGTAGACCCAGTAAATATACAAAGTTAGGCAAAGTAGACATATTAGGTTGACAAGAACAAATCCTTAGATAGTCTAAATAGGTATATTAAGGTAGGCCAAGAGTACTAAAGTAGGTAGTGTAGACCATACAGATATATACATTTATGTTGGTCAAAGACATATACTTAGCTAGATATACAAAGGTACCAAGGACATGATATAAACTGTCTAATCCAAACACCACTGGAACCAACCAAAAGTTCTAAGATTGGCATGTTCACACTTCAAATTTATTACATGGAAGCCAATGGGAGATAGAACAAAAATCACACCAAGAAGTGCTTGGATATACAGGTTTTACTGGAGTCCAAGTAAAATCATTAATTTCATGATAATTATATTAACCCATTTATAGACTGGTATGAGGCCTACCTTAGTAGCAATAGAACACCGAGAATACTTATTAAATGGAGACTAGTAAATTGGTTTAGATTAGGGTTATTATTATATGGATGGTAAAGGGTATCCTTGGTGTCGAAGCATTTACATTAGTACGTGTTGACGAATCTCTCTTTTTAAAGAAGCAAGAAATCAAACTACTGGAAAAGGTAGGTAAAGGGTATTGATATAGTGCCACCTAGATAACTTATAGGGATCAAGAGAATTCTAAAATACATGTACTACCATGTAGGTCACTGACAAGTGAAAATACAATACAGTAAAACCTGTGTACCTGAATACCTCTCTAAATGAAATGATGTGAAGTGAACGCTTTCAGTTTTTTGGTTGGCCATGTCATCCCAACTTCTTTATATGAACATATCTCAATGTCAACAGACATTGAGCCTTTCCAAGCAATATTCACTCAAGACAGGTTTTACCATATATATATCTACCACGTATATATCTAAAAAGCAACAGAAATTCAAACTTGTGTTTCAATTGAAGACATCTACAGTCCAAATTAGGAGGTCATCCAAGATGCACCGAGTGACCTTTGCACTTGACGACCTTACCTGAGTTTGACTGGATTGTTGCTGTGGAGACTGTTGTTGTAAATGGTGTTGTTGTTGTTGTTGATAGTTATTATACTGTTGTGATGAGTTATGACTACTCGTAGAAGAGAAACCCATTTGATTTTGTTGATTGTATTGATTTGACATCTGTAAAGTACAGAAAGAAGTACCATCACCATCTCTAAAAGGTATAATATCTATTCTACAAAAGTAACTAACTACTGCCCATGCTTGAGAATGAGACATCACTCTGGTCAAGCTCACACCCCTACCCTAAACTCAAAACAAGAGTGTAACATCTTGATACTAGTCAACTATTTATATATATGTTTAGAGGTATTTCATGTATCTATTCTATGTATTGATTTCAAAGTTTTGACCAAAAAATTACCAGACACAAAAAATGCATCTGCTTAGCTGGATTTTTACAATAATGTATTATTTTTCTATAAGAATGGTTACCATTCTTATTATTTGGGAGAATTTAAACATTTTCACTCATTTTTGCACTTTGAATCATTATAACTTCACCAATTTATAACATATTGTGAATCTTTTGGGAGATATTGTATTTGATATTGTAAGGAATAGCTTGGTAGGTCAATTAGACATGTTGCTTGTAATTTTGTCACCCCTATAGATCAGATTCTGCCTTTAAGCAACTGAGTGCCGCAGCCTATTGAAAATTTGAAAATTATATCCCATTCGTAGAAAATCTTGCATTCTGCCAGAAATATTGCGATATTTTGAGCAAGATGGGTCAAATTAAAATTCGGCACACTGTTGAGAAAAAGACCTGGGAAGACCAGAGGGAGATCACTGCTTTTGATGCCTGACACAACGCATATAGTAAGCTAGCTTATATTAATATATCTGAAGCATAGTTAGAATGCAAGAGCATTGACACTGTTTTTATTACCCAACCTTATAATGAAAGCAAAGCTAGCAATAATGATCATGTTTGCTGATTCAATGAGGTACAAAAACTCAATACATACTCAGTTCAATTTTATGTTTTGAGGCATCTGCAGTGTTATCATTTTTGAATGACATTGAAATATTAATCTGGTCCCATTTTCAGGGAGGGGTTCATTACGAGCAGGAAACTGGTAAATTCTGAGGTTCTTTTCATCAAAATTGTCTGTTTTTTGGTTGCAACTGTTTCCATATTAAAATTGCAATTTCCAATAAGCTGCTACCTGTGTTTTCATTTGTCTTGCATGTTCTCATTTTTTCTGATGCAGCCCCTGGACTGGGCACCTTATTACTGAGGAAATCAACCTTATGACTAACTAGCTTAAGTATAGTTGTTAAATAACTAAATGTCAGCTGAACACAATTATAGTAATAACCAGTGCTATTAATATAAAAATCACTGAATTACATATGTTTGAAGAACAGCATTTTACTTCAATTACAATTGAAAAGAATTTTATGATAAAGTCAGTTGATAATTGAAGAACATCTACAGGTACAGTATGAAAGTGTTCAGCTGACAAAGGGTCTATTTGTATACAGTCTAAGACACAGTCACAAGAATATCAATTAACATACTCAATGGATTCATTGTGGCAGTATCCATAGCTCCTGACCATCACTCATAAAGTTTACAGCAAAACCTCTATATACCAACATCACTAATCTGAACATGTATCAAGGTGAACACTTTTTATCAAGGTTGACACTATGTAAAACATATTGGCCATAATATACACAAGTGACAATATCCAGTTAAAACCATGCTTGATCAATCCAAGTCTGAACTCTTGAGTCTGTATCTTAGACTGTATGTTTAACTATATATTAAGTGATTTTAATCTGCTGAACTAAGCAAAGCATGTACCTGTTGATTGTAGGGTGGGGGTCCCATCCCTGGTCTTGACTGCATACTGTTCTGTGGCATTCTATACTGTTGTTGAGATGATGGTGGAAATTGTTGACCACCATACTGTTGTTGGGGAAAAGATGCCGGAACGTTCGGTCGGACACGATGTTGGGTAGCTGGATCGTACATCCCTTGTGGCTGCTGCTGTTGCTGGTAGAAAAAATTAGGATAAAATATTATGAATACTTAAAAGGGTCTTTGCATTATGTTTTCCCAGATTAAACTTAAATAGGAAGACATCAAAACAACAAAAACCGATCATACTTTCTATTAAGTCCTAGCTAAGATTTTCTTAACAATACTAACTTGCATTTCAATAATTTCAAATTTTCAATAGAATGTTTATACCACGCACGGTTCCATTCACAAATGATCAATTTAAATGATCAAAACATCTACACTTTTATTCCTCAAGATAGGCTGACTGATAGCATTATCTCTACTAGGTTAAAAGAATAAGGGGAATCCCCTCACGGTAATAAATCTCATTAAAAACAATCTGATTAGACAGAACCCTTCAAAATGCTATTATATTACTGAATGAATATTTATCATGTCAAAACACAATAACCAAAGTACATGTGGTCTAAAACAAGTACATCACAAGAGAGGTTACGATAACCTTAATGAGGGTGTAGAATACTAGGATGCTACGATTTCTATTAATAAATTACAAACTAAGCCCATCAATACTATAACAGATCATGCTTCAAAAACATGACCCCATAACTACTAACAAGTCTGTCAATATGCATCTTTAATCCAGTTAATCAAGACTTAGCTTAATTTGTATGAAGATTTGAACAAAACATACAATAAAATAGGATCTGAAGACTAATAGACAATTTACTGATTTAATTACCCCACGTGTATCTTTATCAACATGACCTATGCACCATTGCACTACTTTTCCATTTCCTTTGCAAGTTGCACATGAGCTTAAACTTTAGCCAGGGACGTCAAATATATGTTCAGTACCTTATATTGTTTGATTTCAAAAAATGCACTCATATTATTTGTTTAGAGTCTTAGACTACAGTTAAAGCATTAACAAGGGCTTTCCCTGTTTTGAGTATAGCAGTATAATAACATTGCAATTAATTATAGCATACATGACAATGTACTGTAATGTAGGCATTTAAATAGCTATAAATAAGTCATTAACTATGAGCTACCTTGTTAAGATCAATTCAGAAATGAAACAGTGCTAAAGGGGTCATCTCAACATCAATACAAAGCTCTATCTATTTTTACACATCTTATTCACATCCGCATTCCCTTTTTCATACTGACAACTAGTCAAATAAATCAATTAGATGACCAAGAAAAAATAGATTAATTTTTATTGACACTGAACACAGGAGAAAAAAAAAAGTCTGGCGTCCTTGAAGAGGATTTTGTGTTAAGCTTTATGAATGAATGACAAATAACTAACACTTAGTGTAACCTTGAAACTTCAGAGTACTTAATCTTGTAAATACTAGAAAGAGTAGGAGGCAGAACTGGTTGACCCTTAAATAATAGCCACATAACAGCTGACTGCAACTTTAAGTCAATATTTACCAATAAATACGGCTTTCATAATCTGTTCAGCTTGATCTAGTTATCTCTATTCTCAAGTACATTGAATTGATTGATTACGTTGGCCATGAAAATACAGCTCCCAATCAGACTTATGCAATCATCTAATGGTCTTATTAATATGTCAGGAAATCTATTAATATAAACTGATGAGGTTAATGTGACCTCAGAGTGATTTATTTACTACCATCATGCCATTCATTGATACTGAATGTTTTGTGTACTCAAGAAACACATGTGCTTTTGCACATGGCTATTGAACATATTCTGAAAAACATCAGATCATTTCAAACAATTCAAACCATTGGGATTGATAACGTTAACATAATTGATTGAATTGATTGATTCAAATACTATTTTAGCACATGTGACAAAATTACATAGCAGGTTTGATTGCTTCGTTACAGAGCATTCTGACAAAAAGGTTTTTGAAGGATTTTGAAGTGTTAAACATGCACAAAATTGTTCCTCGCCTAGATTTTTATCAAAATGTTTCATAACAAAGTGATCTAATTCTGCTGTGTATAATAGGCACCATAGTCAAGAATTGTAAAAGAAGTACATTCCAAAATATTCTTATCACTTAACAGACACTGAAAAATAATCACAAGGCCAAACCACTTACAAAGATGACCTTTCCACTTTTCCAGGTATCTCTGTAGTGTATCAATAAACTTATTTAGCCTCCAGCCTAATTACTATCACTCTTACTGTGAAAGGTAAACAAGACAGGCCAAACAAGGAGACTAAAGAGTGTGGGAACTAAGGTAATCAATACATTACTATCTGTTGTGTAAGATGATCACTTCAAAACCACTTGTTGAGATTCAGAAAAGGCATGTTCTTCTAAATTGTTTAAGGGTGTAATATTAGAGCTATTTCCAATAAGGAAAAAAGTCCCCTAGGGTATATTAGCACCCCTAGGGTATATTAGCACCCCTAGGTTATATTAGGTTATATTGGCTTCAACTAATAGTCTGGCAGAAACTTCAAAGCTAATTGTTTTCTTCGGATTACAATGTTTTTTTAACTTATCAGCATCAATATAGGGTTGGGACCTCAAAACCATTAGATGCCGGAGCGGCACCCTTGGGCAACTCTCTACAGAGCATTTCTTATACCCCCCTGATAAAATATACAGGGGGTACTATAAGACACCCTCATATCTCAGACACTAATAAATATATTAACTTGAAATTTTCAGGAATTGGTTTTAGTATGATGCTTGACACATGTGACAAAAATCAAGAAAATATCTTAATCCGTTGCTATAGCAACAGAAATAGACAATATTTGTTACCGTAGAAATGCATTATTTTGCTGATTTTCATAATTTTCTTCATATTCTTGATTCTTAAAGCATCTGAAGTATATATGTATCTGTTATATACATGATTAGAAGTAAAGATGAAATAATTCATCATATGGTTTATGTAATATATCTAACATTTCAGTTGCTATGGTAACATCACTTAATAATCAGGTTTTTACATTTCAAAAATAACACTTCTTGAAAAGGTTATGCTCCCTAGGTAAAAAAAAAGTGCTGCTTAAGAGATAAATAGTCACATGAATTTGAAAAAAAAATTGTAATTTAATTTTACCCCACCTCGACAGCCACCAAATCTGGCAAAATAGATTAATTTTCAAGAAAAAATGCCCCCAGTGGCCCCAAGGAGCTATACCATGGACCCCAGTGGCCCCAGAAGCTATACAGGGGCCCCCAGTGGCCCCAAGATGCTATAAGATGGCCCCCAGAAGCTATACAGGGACCCTTAGTAGCCTCCAGAAGCTATACAGGGGCTACAAATGGCCCCCAGAAGCTATATGGTGACTTCCAGAAGCTAAACAGGGGCCCCCAGAATCTATACAGTGGCCCCTAGTGCCCCCTTAAAGCTATACGGAGGCCCCGGAAAGCTATATGGTGGGCCCCAGAAGCATGTCCAGCGGCCCCTAGTAGCCCTCAGAAGCTATATGGTGGTCCCCAGTGGCTCCAAGAAGCCTCACAGTGGCCCCCAAAAGCTATACAGGGGCCCCTAGTAGCCCCAAGAAGCTATATGGTAGGCCCCAGAAACTATATGATGGCACCCAGAAGCTATACGGAGGCCCCTAGTAGCCCTCAGAAGCTATATGGTGGTCCCCAGTGGCTCCAAGAAGCCTCACAGTGGCCCCCAAAAGCTATACAGGGGCCCCTAGTAGCCCCAAGAAGCTATATGGTAGGCCCCAGAAACTATATGATGGCACCCAGAAGCTATACGGAGGCCCCAAGTAGCCGCCAGAAGCTATAGGATGGCATCCAGTGGCCCCCAGAAGCTATATGGTAGCCCCAGAAGCTGTACGATGGCCCCCAATGGCCTCAAGAAACTATACAGGGGCCCCCAGAAGCTATACGGTGGTTCCCAAAAACTATATGGTGGCCCCCCAGTGTCCGCAAGAAGCTAAACAGGAGCCCCAGAAGCTATACAGGGACCCCTAGTAGCCCCCATGGTATATATGGTAGCCCCCGGGAAGCTATACAGGTGCTCCAAATGGCCCCTTGAAGCTATATGGTGACTTCCAGAAGCTATACAGGGGCCCCCAGTAGCCCCCAGAATCTATACAGTGGCCCCTAGTGCCCCCTTAAAGCTATATGGTGGCCCCGGAAAGCTATATGGTGGCCCCAAGAAGCATATCCAGGGGCCCCTAGTAGCCCCCAGAAGCTATGTGGTGGTCCCCAGTGGCTCCAAGAAGCTTTAAAGTGGCCCCCAAAAAGCTATATGGTAGGCCCCAGAAGCTATATGATGGCACCCAGAAGCTATACGGTGGCTCCAAGAAGCTTTAAAGTGGGCCCCAAAAGCTATATAGGGGCCCCTAGTGGCCCAAAGAAGCTATATGGTAGCCCCCTGAAGCTATATGATGGCACCCAGAAGCTATACGGTGGCCCCCAGTAGACACCAGAAGCTATAGGATGACATCCAGTGGCCCCCAGAAACTATATGGTAGCCCCCAGAAGCTGTATGGTGGCCCCTAATGGCCCCAAGAAACTATACAGGGGCCCCAAGAAGCTATATGGTGGCTTCCAAAAACTATATGGTGGCCCCCTGGTGTCCCCAAGAAGCTAAACTGGAGCCCCCAGAAGCTATACAGGCGCCCCTAGTGGCCCCCAGAAGCCATACGAGGGCCCCCAGTAGCCCCCAGAAGTAAGCCCAAGTTTTCACTGACAAAAAATTCACGATGTTGTCAATCTGAAATGTTTCATGGCCATTAAATTTCACTGTTAGAGAAATTGAATTCAATGTTAAATCAAATATTTACAGTGCCTTTAAAAGCTATACGATGGTCCCCAGTGGCCCCCAGAAGCTATACAGGGCCCCCAGTAGTCTGATTGCTCAGATGAGGAAAGCCAATGCTTATGAAATTTAGACATTATGCCAAAATCTAGACTATGCCAACCTCTCTATTGTATAATTCAATAGATTTTATTATGATGCATGTTCTAAATGCCAAAGTCTAGACCGACTATATGCCAACCTCACTACTGTATGAATGCATTAGATTTCATTTGATATACATGTATATACTAAATATAA